ATACCATTCTTTGTGTTTAAAAATAATACTCCAAGATTAAAAACCTAATTAGCGCATACTTTTAATTGAACTATAACAAACCCAACGATAAACACTAATTATGGCCTTCAACACACAACAGCCAGCTCCCAATTCTCAAGTTTCCTCCTAATTACTACTTTAACACAATAAAAACCCAATTCCCAAATATGTATCTCTTACCACTTATGTTCCCAAAAAAACATGTTTAGATGATGATCTTTGAGAATGTTTTCAATGGCCTCGATCTCCCCCCCCCCCCACCCATTTATGTGTTCTCATTATCAAAATTTATGGGTTAATAGAGCGGTAATACCCGCGTTCCCCTGGTCTGTATTTTTATGACTTAAGCACAAAGCTCATCTGTGTATCGGCTTATAGCTGTTGTGTAAGTTGTGTAAGGGTATTGGATGCACATACGATATAACAGAATATTAACACAAAAAGGAAATTCGCATTGCTGTGTAATAATAAATATTGGTTTTGACTTTTGTTTTTGTAGTGCTGCAGTTGCTGCTGCAGTTGTTGGTTTTTGATCAGTCTCTCTCTCTGCCGCTGTCTCTTTCCCTCTCTCTCTCTCTCTCTCTCTCTGTGTGTCTCTTTCTGTTGATTGTTTTCTGCATTTAATCTTGCATTACTTTTGTTTCAGCTTTGATTTCTGTCATGCAAATGGGCTAAGGGCGTGGCGTGGCGTGGCTGTCGTCATGTCTGAACATGTTTATGCATGCATAGAGTTTTGTGTTTGCAGTTTTTACTTTCACTGTCGAATGCAGCACACCAAAAAAAAAAACACAAAAAAACGAAACGAAAATTGTTCACCAAAGTGCAACAAATGTGGGCTGGTACGAGGAGGGAGAAGAGTGTGGCAATAATCGACCCCCAACTGTGATTAATGTCGAGCATTTGCCGAGTGTCACACTGTCGTTGGCGGCATGGTCCGTCTCCAAGGGGCAACGGCAACTCCTGGCACATCATTCACCTGCCTAACGATAGCGAGCTGCCACAAAATGCAGCATCAACGTCATTATGGTGTTTGCTGTTGTTGTTGTTGCTCCACGTTGCGGGTTGATTTCTTTTGACGAAAGCGCAAAAATTTTCCTAATGATGCCGGTGCAAATTCAAGCTGCAACTAACTGTTCAGTGTGCTCTGGCCAGCGCCTCACCAACAACCAACAACCAACCCCCCCACCCACAACGGTTGGCTGTAATCTGGTCATGGCCAACGTGGATGATTGTTGACTTTTATGATTTCCATTTCTTAGCATTATTATGGACGTGTGGCAAATCAACAACAAGCAAATAGAAAACACCACCAGCCACAGCAGCAACAGCAGCAAGAAAATCAATAGAAAATCCCCAATGCACAAACTGAAAACGGATGGAAACGATGGGCAGTAATACTTTCCTAAGGAAAACTCTCGATGGAGTTTCTTCAGCCCCTCTATAAGTATCCCATATCGATTTTATGATAGACCTTTTACTGGTTTTTGAGTGGCCTCACATCTCTGCGTTTCATCCGTATCCTAATCCTAATCTTTCTCTATTTTCTATCTGGTAACATTCTCTGTTTTCAGTTTAGCGCAGCTTCACTGTATTTGTGGTGTTGTTATCTGTGGAATGGTGTAGTAGTACTGTGCATGGGATCTCTACCTCCATCTCCATTTCCAACTCTGAGGCTGGGGTTGGGGCTGGTCGGGTTTGTTCATCTGTTGTGCGTATGCCATAAATCGTAACAATAACTACTTGCCACTTGGCCAGACAACGAGCAGACATCGGGAGTTGTTGCTGGAGTTTGGTATTGGGATTCAAGTTGGAGCTGGGACTGGGACTGGGGCTAGTAGCAGAAGGCGGCATACAGCATACGGCATACGATTTCACTTGACTGACGCAGAGACGGAACAGACAGACAGACAGAGAGACATAAGCAAAGTGTTTGTGTTGGTTTTGTAGCTGTTGTCCATATCCCTCAAGTGACTTTCTAAGCGTTGTCTGAACGCTGGCAACATGAAAAATGTGGAGCTCAAGCAGTGATGCAGTGGCAGTGGCAGTAACACAAGCACCAGCAGCACCAGCTCGATCGATTCCACTATCAGCAGCAATGGCATCAAATCCCCATTTATTTGATAGGGGGTCTGCCCTCCCTCCACACTTCGCACTCCATCTTCCCCTTCGACGACCATGACCATGTCCAGTGTTGTGTAGTGCTCTCACAAATATTATCACACACACACACACCCCCACACACAGTTTGATAGAAACACAACTCATAAAAAACCCATTTATAACTGTTAACTTGTACAAAAGTATTTACAGACGATTTAGCAGCTCAGAGTATTACGGGTACAGCAGCCATCGTACACACACACACACACAAACGCACACAATTCCAATTGTTTATTTGTGTTAACTGCTCTGCCAGCTCCTCCTATTCCTAGACAATTCCACTTCCTATACACTGTGCCCAAAGTATATGCTATATAAGGTATGGACTATAACATATAATTACTCACTAGCGGTGCATAGGTTCGCTGTAGGATCAAGGTGCATAGGCATGCGTGAGAGATGTAAATAAATTAAATATCTAAAGTGTAGAGTCGTTCTGCCCCACCTGGTATTTCCTATTCCTTGGCTCTGCCCACTTCATCTGCCCATTGGCAGCAATAAAAAGTGTAGTGTTGTTATTTGTACAATGTTGTTTGTTTCTCTCTCTGTTTGTGTGTTTTGTTTGCTATTATTGTTGCTATTATTACAGTTGTTTTTGTTTAGTGGCCAACACAGCTGCTGTTTTCCCCCTTTCCCACCTTCCCGTCTTACATAGCTGCTGACACGCAGAATTCAATGCAACAAACAAAACAGCAGCAAGAGCAAAAAAGTAACGGTTATCCAAGTGCAAAACAAAAGCAAATACAGCAGCAGCAGCTCTAGCTAAAATCATAGTGAGAGAGAGAGAGGCAAAGTTTGCCCTTGTCCTGCATGACTGAATGCAAGCGGAAGAGTAAGAGAGCGCAAGTAAATGAGAGGCAACTGCATGAGTGCAAAGAGAAAACCGCAGGTTAACGCAAGTAGCGGGATCCTTTGAGTGAATGTGGGTGGAGGAGCATCGAAAAATGTGAGCGTGGCTGCCAGAGAGCAGCAGGCCATGGATGATGGGTGAGATGACATTTGGCAAGGTGTGGAAGGGTAAGGAAGTATGACAGCATGATCTCTGCTACTGACCCAACATATCCTGCTAGATTAACTAGAACTATTACTATTACTAGAACTAGTACTAGTTGTCATTGTCAATCACTTCACAAGTTTAACAATCTTCAAAACTTTAATTGCGCAGCCCTGAAAACTTCTGATTGTTTTGCCAGCCGTCTTTGTTTTCTGTGAGAGCAGCAAAGAGTGAAAAGAAGAACAGTTTTCATTTTCATACTATTTTTATTTGGCGCGCTGCTAGCAATTACTAGCAAAAAATAGTACAAAAAAAAAACTAGTGGAAAGTAAAGAAAAGTAAACAAACTGTGTGCCCAACAGAGTGCGGCAACATTTAAAGGAAAATGGGTTATGAAAAACAATTTGAAAAGGTATAAAATTGATGTCAGTTCTCCCCCGCAGTGAACGGTGGAGTGGAGGCTCCATATTGATTTTGCTTACAAATAATAAAAAAATCATTTTTTTTCTCGTGTCTCTTGCAGTGGAGCGTTTTGTGGCTGATGGACAGAGTAAGGTAAGTGCAACCAAAATCAAGAGCTAGGCTGGTTTTTGTTAGCTGTGCTTATTAAAAATAGCTGGAAAGCGCGCTTAAAGCGCAGAAACTAAACCGCATGGACACTCACACACCCATACACACAGGCTGGCAGTGCAGAGCGAGAGAGAGAGAGACACACGAGACGAGGCTTGTTGTAACATTTTTCAAGAATTGGGACAACAAGGCGCATAAATAACCGACATGCCACAGCAAAAACGAAAAAAAAAAAAAAACTAAGTGAAACGCGGCAAGATACTGCACTTAGAATAGTAAAGAAGAAAAACAGCAAAGGAGTGTGAGAGAGCGAGAGGGAAGCCTAAATGTTTGTGGAGAGGGATAACCAGTGTGTGTGAGTGTGGGGGAGACGAACAACTGCGTGGAGTGTGTTAGATGCTGTGTAACAGCGTGTGGGATCCAGTCTATGAGTGAGAAGGAGAGGAATACCTGCGTGTGTGTAAAGGAATTGCAACTAAATACGAGAGCGCGCTTCTCTCTGTTCTAAGAAGAGATGCAATGCGGCTGTATCATCTCTCCCTCTCTCTTTCCCTCCCCCTCGCTCAGCCTACAGTGGACACAAAAAGAAAGCGTACACCGAGAGATACCGGTTTTCAATGGCCCAGAGGGGGGACAGGTTTATTTTCCCGTTGGGACTGTGTGACAAATCAAGCGAGAAGCGAGAGCGAAGACACACAGCAACCTCCCTCCCGGCTTCCTCCTACTTCGCCTCCCCCTGTTCCCTGGTGCTAGAACAGTGCGCGAAAAACGTCAATGGCCCAGTGAAAGAGTTGGTAGTGGAAGAGAGGGGGGGAAACAGCTGTGAAGCTACGCGTAATGGCAGCAGGAAATTGAAAAAAAAAACTTGCCGCGCGCTTACCTTTGGGCTGCTGCTTCTGTTGCACTTCCCTTTGCTTGTTCTTGGCGTTTTTCGATTACCCTGTAGTTATTGGGTAGAAAGGTTTTCAAAGATCCGGGATTTTATTCCTTTAAGGCCTGTCTCCAGCACAGGCTCCTGACTGGATTTTCCGCGGTGCTGGAGTCAGGCCTTTAATTTGAATAGTATTTCCAATTAGATTCTTTTTATCCCAGGGTATTCTATAGTCGAAATAGCCACTATATTTTTCCTTCCTGACAGTTGCAAATGCCTCTCTACCGTTTCCCCCTCGGGTGAGAGTGTCAAAAGTCAAACACTTTAGCCTTGCCTTTTTTTCCTTTTTCCGTTTGCTTCCCGACACGAGTTCTTTTGATGATTTATGCCGCTTTATTGCTTATCACTTAAACTGCCTTAAAGTCCCTTGGACTAGCCTTACACCTATGTACATATCTGGCAGATATATACCCTATATGTATATTCTATAGCTTTCCCATTTGCTGGAGATTCACCCGCTGGCGATGCTGCCGCTTCTCGAGCTGCCGCTTCATGTTGCGCCAGAGCCTGTCGCGGTATATGCTCTCGCGATTCAGAGCACTCCTCTGCTGGTAGACGAGCTCCGCGGGACTATCGGCCTCCCACTGACGCCGCTGTTGCAGGAGGATGAGCTCGTTTGTCAGATGCAGCTTGGTGCCGGCAATGCGCATCAGACGGCGCTTCGGGCGTCCCAGTTCCTGTCGGTGCAAGTACAGGGCATAGCTCACGGTCTTCTCTCGTGGGTTGGCAGTTGGAATGGTGCTTCTGGTATTGTCTGACATTGTTCGGTCCGTGGGATTGGATTGCTGGTATGCTGGTTGCTCGTTGCTATGCAAATCGAAACGCTGTTCTAATGCTCTCTCGTCTTCCGTCTCTTGTCAGAGGCCAAATGATGCAATCAGTGCGTGTGCAGGGGACTTTTAAGGCAAGAGGCAGAGGAAGGTGGCAGGTAGATTGATCCACACACAAAGGCACACACACACAAACACATGCCACACATCCACAGGTAGAGCTTCTCCGTTAACGAATTTATTGAGGGAATCTGAAGGAGGTTCAGTGAAAGTAACACAAGAGCTCAATTAGCTGGTGGGTCGTCGTTTGTCTACCTGTAGTTAATCTCCCACCGCGACTTGAACTGATTAAATTTTCAATTTTCCAGCGCTGCTTCTCTTCCGCTGTCAAACGGCAAGGGGCAATGCTGCAGATGCAGATGCAAATGCGCTTTGCATGTTGCCTGCTAATTGGCAACAGTTGTCGATGGTTCTTTTTGCCACTCGGCCTCTTATCCCTCCCGGTAGATGTATGTATTTCTCGTATTCTGCAGTTTTCTGCTTCAGTTTACCCGCGTGTTCTCCGGTCCGTCTCATGGCCTTACCTGCATGATTAATGAACGCCGTTATGCTTTTACGATTCGATGCGATGCGAGGGGCCGGGCCATCTGCCAGGGCTCACTGTACAGTGTACGCATGCGCCGCTGGCTGTCCGCACTCAGATGTTACATAAGTCCGCCGGTGCCATAAAAACTAAAAAAAACAATAAAACACCAGCAAATTAGAAATTACTTTTATGTGCAATACAAAATAACAAAAAAAAAACAGAAAAACAAAAACAGAAAAAAAATGGTAACAAATTTACACACAATGGGCCGTTAGGAAGGGGGCCTATATATGTGTGTATGGGGGGAGGGCAATGCCTCGAGGCCCAGTGCGTGGCATTACATCAGCATTTGGCCAAGAGTCTGGCTATGTCTATGCCCCCCAGCCCCCTGCCACTGCAACGTCTGCTGTGTCGGCCTCATTAAGGCAGGTTAAATCGGAACTGTATTTTCCAAGGCAGTGCGGAAATTCAAATGCTGTTACACACGTATCTCCATATATGTACATTATATGCGTATGCTGTAGATCCAACTGAGTATCTGCAAGTACGCAAGTTATTTCCCTTTATTTGATGGAAAGCAGCTCCCAAGGCACAGTCTAAAAAGAGAGAGAGAGAGAGGGACAAGTGGACGTGGTTGGAAAAACTGCTGCTAATTAACCCACATGGAAAATGGTGTGAAGTGGAAACTCTGTTTTGCAGCTCTCTAGTTCCAGCACAAAAAAAAGAACAACTTTTCGTTGCAGCTGCATTACAATGCCATCCAAAATGACAATACATACGCAAAATGCTGCCCAGTTTTTACATGAAACTTTTCTTTGCCCCGCTATTTTAGCTATTAGCTATTTAGCTATTTTCTGTATGCCATAGAATTTTGCATGGAATCGCTTACTTCTGGCTAATATGCCCCTTCACCCCTGAGTACCAGGATTATAAAAAGAGACAAATTTTCAACTAGCAAAACTACATGCAACATGCCACAAAAAAGAGGAAAAAATATATATAACAAAACAAATGAAAAAAAAGGGAAAGGAAAATAAAGAAAAACATGAAAATGTTTTCCACATCAAAATGCACATAAATAATAAATGGAACAGGAACCCCGGACACACACACACACAGAGAGAAACAAAAGCGAATCGAGATGGGAGAGAACGAAGAGAAAGGGGTGTGAGGGAATGGGAAAATGCAGAACTGAGAAAACTGAGGAAAAACGGAAAATGTTGGCCAAAAACATAAAGAGCTTTTGTTTCATTTCAGACGACGACATCTTCTTTCTCTCTCTCAAAAACTGTTAATAATAAAATGCTGGGGCACACAAAAATTATGAAATTAATTTTGAAATTTTAATTATGCAACAGTAGTTGCAGTTGCAGGAACTGTGGCAGGCTTACCCCTTCCGCCGGCCCCCTTTTTTGGCAGCTCTTGCAACATGCAAATTGACTGGTGGCGCACACACATAGGCCACAGAGTGTGTCCCTATTGTGGTTCTGCTCTACTCCACAGTGGATTAGCACTGACCGACCGACCACACCCTCCTCCACTCCATGCCACTCGATGGTTTAATGATGCTGCAGCCCAGACCCATACCCAGTCCCACAGTCCCAAAACCAATGCCCCATTCCACTTGCCTCCAACAATTCAATTGAGGCGCACACACACACGAATCTGTGAGGGTTCTGGTTTCAGTCTCTGTTCAACTTTGATTAGAGTTAAGCCCTAAATTAGTTGCCGCCGCTGGCCCTGTGCTCGTTGGCGACCTTTAGGCCGCGTTTGGTCTGACTTTGGGAAAGGTTGTGACTGCGACAATTGGCTTGGGCTCCATTGGTGATCGCATCAGATTGGTAACAGATGGTTGCGGGTGATTTTCCGTGAGTTCCGCTAGTTCGGAGAAGTTTGGAAATATTTACTATGGGCTAAGAAAACGTATAAAATACTATAGCAAATATCATAAAATATACATTATTTAGGGAGTTCTCTAAACGTATTGTGAATGATTTCCTGCGGAACTGCCTTTGAGCACAAAATTTATTTATTAAAATCAAACATTAAATTTATATCCCTGGATCATTCGGATAGGAGCACTAATTGAATTATATTAGCAATTATAAGCAGCTCTGCTGCTTAAAGAATTAAAGAATCAGTTCTTAAGTATATAAATCTAATACTTTTCAGTATCCCCTTTGTTCTAGCTAAAAGGTATCCCAATGTTTTGCAGAGTAACTTCCCTCTTGTTGGTGGTGGGGACCTGGGGATACAGATTGTGATGTCGTTAAGGCCACATATCACCCCGCAAACAATCGCAAGTGTTAATCGTTTTGATTCCACCCAGATGTCAGCCAGCAACTCAGGGAAAGGAAAGGACAAAGTCGAGAACAAGCGAAACAGGAGCTGGGGGGGATTCCCTTCGAAACTTGGTGGAATGCTGCACGCCGCCAACTTATTAGCGAACACAGTTTAATGGCTCCAATTAATGTCAACCCAAGTTGGTGATGGCCTGATGCTGCCTCTGCTGCTGCTGCCACCGCTGCCTGTGCTGCTTTTGCTGCTGCTGCTGCTGCCTTTGGGCCAAGAGTGAAATTTACTTGAAACGAAAGTTTTTGCTGCCGGCCATTGATTGGGTCCGCTTCGCTGCACGCGAAAAACTTTTTCGGATTGAACATTTGTAGAAATGCATAAAAATTAATTAACAAGCAGATGCCGAATCGAGCTTTTGGGCAGAAATTATTATTAGCCAAAAAGCTGAAGCAGCAGAAGAGGCAGCAAAAAATTCAAAGCAAAAAGCATAAGAATTTTTAATTGGCTTTTGTTGGTTTTTCTGCTTTTGTTATTGTTGTTGTAGTATTTCCTACTCAATGCCGTCCATCGTCATCGTCGACTTCTCGCACATTTAAGCCTAATTAACTTTCTACTTAGAGCCCACTTTTGTTGCTGTTGTTGCTGCTGCTGCTGTCGAGAGTGGATCTACGTCTAGTGCTTCTCATTCTTCTACGTTTCAGTCTCAGCTTTAGCTCCTCAGCTTCCAGCAGGCAGCAGCAGCAAGCAGCAGCTTCTTTTTCTTTGGGTTTTGTTGTGTGTGCATTTTGCATTGTTTTGCTATACCCTGTAGTAGTCGTTTGGCGGCAAGGGTAAGCTGTAAATGATAGTAGCGGGATTTTTTAAACAAAACTTTGAAGCAGGATTCTATGAGGTAAATCATTTGCATTTAGGTATTCCTATTTTGATTTGTAAATTGAGAAACTTCTGTAGCACTCAAAAAAGCTTTTAAGATTTTTCTTGACTTCGAAGTAGTTCCTTTTACATGTTTTCTAGTGCACATAAATCTACTTGGAGGGTATCACTAGAGTCGTAATAACTGGTTTCATGTGGTTCTACCTTATTGCTTGGTGCCTTATTGTCTTGGCTTTTCCTTTGCTGACTTAACTGCCTCCTGATGCTGCTGTTGTTGTTTCTCATTCTCCTGCTGCTTTTCTCTTTGGTTGTATCCACTCCTCCGACTGTTGCTTCCTCTACTTCTCTCGCTCTTTATTCTACACCTCCTTCTCCTTTTCTGGCTCTGCCTTCTATTTCCTATCCTCCTTCTCCTGCTCATCTCGCACTGCGTCAACTTCTAATTTCATTTGAAGCCTCTTCGCTGTGCGCTTTGAAGCCAGGGCCAAGCGCACAGATGCAGCTTTTCAAACGTGGCTAAAAGCAGGAGAAGAAGCAGACACAGTGGAAGATGCAGCGGCAGCAGCGACGGCTAACAAGGTGAAAAGTAGGTGAATGTTAAGCAGTCGCCAGCTACGCTACCAACAACAACAATGTTGGGAACAAAACAAAAGAAAAATGGCAACAAAACACACGAACAATGACAAAAGAGTAAACAACATTTAGCGAAAAAAAACGTGAAAGAAAGAAAACAGCAACAACAACAACAACAGCAACAACAACAGCAGTAAACGTGCCAAAAAAGGGTTAAAGCCAAAAAAAAAAAAAGACAAACAAACAAACATATTAACGTGAAATGTTGTTGCCCCTTCTATGGGTGTTGTTATCGCTGTTGCCCCTTCTTCGCTGATGTAGTTGTTGTTGCTGCTGGCACCTTCTGATGGCTCTGATAAGTTGTTGCCTGCCTTCTGCTACCCAACACAGTCTTTTCCCTACGGATTGGCATCGTCGGAGTCGTTCTTCCTCTTTGCCTGGCTTGCCCCTCTTACCGGAAGTGCACATTAAGCGTTTTTAATTTCCAGTTTCGCGCAACTTGAAAACTCTGTTTGCAGAGCATCGCGCGAAAAGAGAAAGGCGCGGGTGTTGGCTGGCTCGCAGGCGGGCTGCCTGCTCTTGGCCTCGGCGCACAAATCATTTTGGAGCCCCGTTCCGTTCTTGAGGCTGTCCACGCGCGGTTGATGCATATTTTGTTGGCAGCTGAGGGAAGAGCATATGCCTTGCGAGATCTTATCGATGAATAATATAAACAACGAATGTCTGTCGGAGGATCCGGATGGAGTGTGGTCTACACCCACACTCCGTCGACTGGCTGGCAGCTGGAATGGAAAGTGTTGACCTTGAGCGATGCTCTCTGCTAAAGATGATGATGATGATAATCTCTTGTGTTGAAATCGCGTGCAGTTTCGCGATGCTTTTCGTTTAATTTTACAGCTGCTTCGCACTCTGTCTTCCTGTGCCTCCTCCCTGCTAAATTCCAGCGCAAAAAAAGATCAATCAATACTGGCTTTAAATAGAGTAGGGTAAGGACACACCGCTCCTTAAGTCTGAAAGCAATGAAATACTCCGATGCCCCAAATCTCTTGTGGCGAATGGTCTCTGTGCCGTGACATTCAAACCGAATGTATCCATTCGTTTAGGGGACACTTATCACAGCAAATAAAGCTCTACTAGTTCCTACTTGCAATAGCAAATTTGGGAAAAGCTTTAGCTTTACCTTTTTTTTTTATTATTATATTATTTGTTGCAACTCGAAAACAGTGTGTGGCATGTGTGCAAATGCTTCACGCGGTGTCTTTTAACCATTTCGAGGTGTTGTAATCATATTTTGTGTTATTTTTGTTTGCCCTACGAATTCGCTTTTATCTTTGCATTTTTTCGTG